CTAGCTTATTAGTATTTTGGTAGTGATGTAAGGTTTAATGTCTTTCCCCTCAATATTTCTATCTTCATCAGTGACTGAACAGAAGAGCAATGATTCAGTTGTCTTAAACTGTTCTGTGGTGGACTATAACTACCCTAGACACACAGTGGAGTGGCTGTATGAGGGGGAAGGAAACATATCCTCACATAACCATCTATCACTACCAACTTCTCATTCTTCTGTGGCACTGACTGCTCCTTTTCATCAAAACTTAGCACTTTATCAATCCAAATGTAAAGTTACAAATAATGATACTGGAAAAATTCAGCTGTTCACCTTTGGCTACCAGTCCGAAGTTCAGACCACAGGTAAGATGGAAAAGTGTTTTCTTTATCTCAGAAGCTTTTATGATTGGACTTCTATAGTTTTTTTTTTGTATGAAAATAAAAGGAACTGGATTTTTAATTGGGTTAATTACTACTGTTTATCAGTTAAAATACAACCTAGGCTTTGTCAGCACAATAGAAAAAATATGAGTTTACCACTATTTGAAAGAATACTTTTAATGAGCAGCAAAGCAAAGCAGCATTATCTTAAAAAGATATTTTTTATGATAGAATTCCAGCAGTTGTTGATAGCTTTATTACAGAGTCTTGAGAGCTGATACAACAATATTAAAATCAACCAATAGTTTAAATAATCTAGCAAGTTGATGAAGAGCTGAGATTTGCACTGCCGACTGCTTATATTTGCACTGCCGACTGTTTATTCACAGTACCAATTGTTTACATATATATTTGCAATAACGTACTTTAACTGTAATATGCAATTACCTCCCACTGCACTTTAATTTAGATAGCTTCTGTCCAAACTTTATTTATTCATTTTATAGTAAAACCCATCTGTATATATGCTATTGTACATAACTCTAAAAACCCTTTTTCTAGTAATATCCACATGTATATTATATTTGGTACATATCCAGCTGTAAATTTAGTTCATAACACTAGTTATCTATATATTATATTCATTATTTATAATGGTATTCATCTCTATACTCATTCAGTAGAAACCCATGTCCTGTATTTATGGAACCATTATTTATCCTGCACTTGCTGCTATTGCACTTCTGGTTAGACCTAAACTGCATTTTGTTGCCTTGTACCTGTACCTGTATAATGACAATGAAGTTGAATCTAATCTAATCATTGCCATGGAAATGGTACTACTAATAAAGTGCATTGCATTAGTCTGGACTATTGCTTTGCACTTCATTCAGGCATTAGCAACAAGCTCTCTCCCATCTGTAGTTAGTCCACAACACAGCGGCTTGTCTTTTAACCTGGATCAGAAAACATCAACACATTACACCATCGCTCCTCAATATATTATAGACATCCTTTGATCTAATCTCTGGTGAGTGATCTGAGGTCTAATAGTGTCTAAGACTCGGCTCAAAACCAGAGGGGACCGAGCCTTTTCTGTAGTTGGCAACAGCCTTTGGATACTTTGCCCCTCCGTAAATGAACAGCCTCCACATTGTTTCAAGTCTAGTCTTACCCACTTTTATACTTCGCCTTTACCTCAGCATAATTGTGTTTTTTTCCTGTGTCATTCTTATTCATTTATTAATTTTAAACTCTCACCACTCTTTTGTGTATATGTTGAGTTTTTTGTTTTGTTTTTATGTACAGCACATTGGAAAAAATGTTTCTTGTTGAATGTGCTAATAAAGTGGATTAGATGGAAATATGGAGAGAATGATCATAATGCCTGTATT